GAGCAGATATGAGAAGGATTGCATTTTATTAATTTAGACTCTGTTACCTGTTTCTCTGACCATGTGTTTTTCTTAGATTTTCATCTAATTGATACCCACATTTGAGTATTTACTATTTTTTCAGTCCTAGTATTGAATCCTGTGCTCTTTTTTACTTTAAAAGTAGACAGAAAGTCTGGACAAGCAGGAGACTCAGATCCCACCACAGCCCCGTTTCACTGGCCCTGGAACTGAGTGTTAGTGGCAAGAAGGTTCTTGGCATTTTTAATAATTCACCTGCTCCAGACAGTTTTATGTAGTGAGGTTTGGGAGATAATGAGCAGGTCACTGGTAAAGAATATGGATTAAAATTCCCCCAAAACCTTATTTATAAGGTCTTTTTTAGAAGTTGATCAAGGCTGAGTGTATTTATGAGTCAGTGACTCCATTAACCCTGTAAAAAACTGTTAGAGTACCATAGAGTATTCAAGTATGTAACACAATATGTCACATGTATTTACTCCCTGAACAAGCTACTGACAAATGTGATTTTACTGAGTCCTCACCCTCCTGAGTTACATGGAAGTTAATAGAGTTACTTCTAGCCATTTTGCTCTGTTTGCCAAATTATTTTTATTTGCTCCTTTTTTTTAAACTTTATGTATTTTGAGAGAGAGAGAACACAAGCAGGAGAGAGGGGGAAAGGGAGAATCCCAAGCAGGCTCTGCACTGTCAGCACAGAGGTCGACGCGAGGCTCAAACCCACAAACTGTGAGATCATGACCTGACCCTAAATTAAGAGTCAGACACCCAACCGACTGAGCCACCCTGGTGCCCCTTCATTTGCTCCTTTTATTAAATGACTAGTCATCTTTGGGAGAAGCTAAGTGGAAATTTTGATGTAATGTTGATAGCAGACTGTAATGAAATGAATGCTGTGACAGAAGATATGCTAATAAAATTTCATAACAATCTCCCAGTCTAAGATACACTCATTGCCTAAAGAAACAGATGCTGGCTATAGATGATTGTACATTTTCCCCTTGGGCTAAGTAAAACCCAAAGAATTTTAGTTAGGGCTTCTCTCAGATTAGTAAACCAAATAGACTTTAAATCAAAAAGTACAAATCAATAATCTGTTCAACTTTGTTGAACACAGATAATCACTTAGGTTCCACAGCAAGCAAATTCAGGAGAGCTAAATGGAGAATTTTGCTGCTGTGGCATGGAAGTCAGAGAAGTGCTTAATGTTCCAGGCATCATTCCTCACTCACAGGGGAGCCTTAGGCTAGGTTCAGGATGATGGACCTAGAAGCCCTGAAATGGGAACAATTTCAGTTACATTTTAATCAAGCCCCAGGAGAGAAAGGAGAATTATGTGAAATCATTGATAGAAAATAGAGGTTGTTTCTTGCCCTTACAGTCATTTGTATACTTCATAGCTGAACAGCGGGATAAATTAGGAGTTGTGCCCCTCACAATCAAATGTGTATGCATGGTGGTTCATGAAGGTGTGACCTATCTCCCTAAACTGGTTTTTCCCAGTTTTTCCATAACTGTGCTGTAATAGATTAGCAGCATTCTGATACACTTAATTTAGCAAAACCCTGCTACATATGAAGTGCCAGGAGGTAAAAAAAACAAAAACAAAAACAAAAACTTAAGCTTCTCCCCTACCCAGAGAATATTTCTACCTAGAACCAAGAAATCAGACTATATTTGATGTGGCATAGTTGTTTATAAAAAGCATCCGATGCCATGCAAATGCCTTGTGTTCTCCAAGGTGAGTTCTTTATGAAAAGAGTGTTTGCTAAAATCTGATTGTAAGTCCATTTGCAGCAGCCCTATTCCCTGTGGTCATGGATATGCCTTTATATTGGGGAAAATCACATAAAACACATCAGTCTCTGCTTTATGATGACACATCCCTGGAGAGGAGGTACTGAGTGCTTCACATATAGAAGAGCTACTGGTGCTGAGGTGACAGTAATAATACCTAACACTTCAGGATGGTCAGCACTCTGCTAAATACTTTGCACATATTAACTCATTTGATTTCCACACATTTTCCACACAATTTGATTTCCACACAATTTCCACATTTGATTTCCACACAATTTCCACCAAAAAAAAAAAAAATTGCTGAAACATTTACAGGCAAAATTCTAGGATTTACATCCTAATTATAGGGAACAGGGTATATGGGGTATGGCTGGAATAAGGTTGGCCAAAAGTGACTGATTCTTGGGACTTGGTGACAAGAGACAGGGTTCATGGCTTTATTGTATGTATTTTCATGTAGGTTTAAGATTTCACAATAATAGAAAGCAAAACAAAAACTGTGAGGTAGATACTGTTATTTTCCTTATGGAGGGGAAACCTTGTGCAAGTTCATACAACTCCAAAAGCTATGCATCTGGTTGCTTTACCCACTGTTCTGAAATTGCACCAAAACTCCTCAGGATGCAGCAGTGAACTAGCTAGCTGGGGTACTAAAAGATATTTTAAATTGTGGATGGAAGCACAGCAGTACTCCACATCTGTCAGATACCATCTGAACTGGTAGCTCAAATTCAGCTTCTACATTAGAATACATTGAATTCCTATGATGATACCTTGTGAAGCTGGGTTTTTTTTGTTTGTTTGTTTGTTTTTCAGCACTGTGGTAAAAAGCAAGTTCCATGTGAAAACTCAAAATGGAACAAGGACTGAGGGTGCTGGTATGCAATCTGATTCTGAGGTTTGAGAAGTTGCACGATACCAGTAATGCACACACCCCATTAGTAAATAATTCCGTACTAAAGAATAAAATTAAAATATTTTTCTTTCAATGGGTGTGCATTTCATTTCATACAGCTACTGAGTTGTTAGGACATAAGTACTTTAGCTTTGGGGGCCTAAGTGCCCTGTGAACCAAAGTTTGGGGAAATCCCTACACTACACTGCCAAAGATGTAGAAGCTGAAACATGGAACATCTAAATGTCTGTCCCCTATGCTAGCTCAGCCTCCTCGTAAAAAGCAAGACAGTGTCAGGGTACCTGGCTGGCTCAGCTGGAAGAACATACAACTCTTGATCTTGGGTTGTGAGTTTAAGCCCCACATTGGGTGTAAAGATTACTTAAATAAATAAAACTTACCAAAAAAAAACCAAAAAACCTGTTTCATTCGCTTACCCATTCAACCAGTACCTACTGTTTACCAGGTGTTGTGCTAGCCATTGGGGGGTGGGGGTGGGATGGGGTGGGTGGGGATACATCAGTGAATAAGATGGACAAAAATTCCTGCCCTGGGGCTTATCTGCTGATGAGGAAAACAGACAATAATCAGAATAAACAAACGATAAACATCATTATATTAGATTATGATAAGTGCTAAGAAGGGGACAGAACCAGGGGGATAAGAATGTAGTAGGGTAGGGAGGAGGTAAAATTTTAGACAAGGTGACCAGGGAAGGCCTCACTAAGCTAACAGTTTGGTAAAGACCTGAAACAGGTAAGAAAACTATCAGCCACTTAATTACCTCTTACCAAAAAATAAATAAATAAACTGATTCAGAAACAGAGCCCTGACGTTGTACAACAAATAGAAAATTAATGAGAATTGGCCTCATCAGATAGAGTAATTCATGGAAAAGGAAAAGAAAAATGGTGTATAACTTTTCTTCTCTGTGGATTACCTCACTCCACGGGATCCCAAACTTAAATAAGGAAACAAAGGTAATAATCATACCAGCTCAGTACTGTACCTCAGTTATAGTGAGAAATGAAGAAGGACCCAGAGATTTTATGCAAATAAGAAGTGATGAATCATGGGTATCTACTCCTAAAGCCAAGACTACACTGTTTGTTAGCTAACTTGACAATAAGTTAAAAAAAAAAAAAAGTGACTTGTTTAAGCCAACTAACTGTTAAAAAAGTTATGCTATCATGAATTGAGATGCTAAATGGCACTAGCTAAAATGCTTAGATGTTTTAAATGGTATCTACACTATACTAATACAGCTGCTCGTATAACAACAACAATATTTTGGTTTTGTATGGAGATGTTTTACGAAGATGAGAGTAGAGGGCCATAAGGGGATTTTTTTTTTTTTTGAACCTTGAGTAACATACAGAAGTCAATACTGAAAATGTTAATAGCAATTAGAACTATCAGTCAAAACAAGCAGTGGGTTGTTTTCCTTCTTGGCACCCTCTAAAAACCTTATAAATGGAAATATCAGAAGAAAAAAAGTTTATCAGTACTGAATTTTTTTAGGGGACAGCTGCAACCTTCATGGACTGTAGAATCTCCCTGAGCCTTGCCCAAGAGAAAATTGCAGATTTGTTGATTATAAGCCCTCTGGATATCTTGTGTTGCTGAGCTTATTGTCTTACTTCTGTGTCCTTAATGAAGCCATCAAACTTACCCAGTAGGTTTCCTGAAGGGATCTGGTGCCATTCCAGCTTCTTTGCTTTCCATCTTGGCCTTGATCAGCCCCAGATTCTTGGCAAGGTATAGACTCAGACTGTCTCTCTACCACCTCCTTCTCCCCCCCCCCCCAAATTTGGAGTTAATCCCACTATAAATCATCTCTTGTTAAAACCATTTTGCAAAGCAGGATCTGCAGTGGTTCCCAACTGTAACCGTATATCTGAATCCCCTAGGAGCTCAATAACAACATAAATCTGGATTTAATACATTTGGGACGAAACCCAAATGTGTATGTTTAACAAGTGCCTCAGATGAGTCTGTTAGAAAACACTTAATGGGGATCTTAAAGGGTGAGTAGAAATTTACCAGATTGGCAAAGGGAAGAAGAGAATTATTTTACGCATGGATATAGAACACCATATGTAAGTATGAACAAGGGAGTAGGGGAGGGGGGTGGAGTTCAAGGAAGTGCACATTTTCAAACTGTGCTCCAAAAGAGTGCTCAAAGGGGGAGGAAGCTGTTTTATAAATATTAGGGTTCTAATAAGGTTTCTTCTAATAAGAGTTTTGCTGCTAAGCTCCCTTCCGGTTCTGCTTTCAGCCTTACCAGGTGGTGGGTTCCTCCCCTAGTCCTCATTAGGCCCCATGAGGTCTTGGAGTGGTCTCAGGCTTTCCTTTGATCCTGCCATAGCTACCTCCTATTTGTTCCTTGTTCTGGCACTGATTGTCATCATAAGAGAGAGAAACAATATGGCTGGAACTTGGAACTCAGCTACTTATAAAATGCATCAGGCAGGAGGAACTCACCCCAAAGTGCTCTACAATTTGCAGTAACTTAGTGTGACTTTTAGCCTGCCCATAACTGGCAAGTTTTTCTCAAGCACCAAGGCCCTCCTTCCTTTGCTCAGACAGATGCCCTAGCCATAGTTCCCTATTGTAGAATTATGAATTTATTGTCAATTTTATCAAACAAAGCTTTGTAAGGAGCTCTGGACTTGAGATAGGTGACACTTGGCTTCCAGTTCTAGTTCATATGTCACTTATTTAACCTCAGCCGAACAACCTAACCAAAAAGTATCTTCTCTACATCTCAGTTTCCTTTTTTATAAGACTGGAATTCTAGTCAGCTTTGCTTTCTGCAGCCAGGAATAACAGATGAGATCTTACATGAATGGAGTTTTGACAAAAGGGATACAGATATGGTACTATTTCTTAAGAATAATAGGGAATAGAACATTGAGTAATTCAATCTCCACAGATAAGTTGCTTTTTCTGAGACACTAAGAAGAATCAATTTACCAATAGGCACCTTTCAGAAATGTTAACTGTCATGGATAATGTTTACATCTAGACCACTTGCCATTTATCCAAGGATTTGGCCCCCAGCTTTCTTGAACACTGAATCCACCGATGAAGCCAGTCATGCTTTCTTTCGGATTCCTATTGAAATTACTACTTCCCTCCATGAAAGCGTTTATCACACCCCTCAAAGGCAGAAACCTTCTTCCAATCTGTCCCCAAGCCTAACACAGGACCTGGCACATAGTAAACCCTTAACAAATGTCGGCTGTTAAATGAATGAGTTTGGACACTGTCCAGCATTGGATTGGATGCACTTCAGGCCAAAGATTAGCACAATACACGTTCCTGAAATGGGATGGATTTTAAAGATTCATCTTGCCAACTTCCTGTCCAGGAAGCTGGCCAGAGCCAACTTTCAAGCACCTAATAAATTAGGACCCCTTATTTTTAGTTCCTTCTTGAGAAGGACATTGAGTGGTTTCACTGGCTAACTCATCAAGCATGAGTATCCTTTGTGCAGATGAAGTTCATTTCCTTTTCCACTTAAAAGAAATGGGAGTAGAATACACCCACATCTTGTATATAGTTTTTTTTACATAATTGAAGGCTCCTCTTATATCACAGAGTCTGATCTAGTTTAGGTTGGAAGCAGGGCCCATCATCTCAATTAGAGTAGAATTGAAGAACTAAGAAATTGTCAACTTGAATTTTAGAATTACTTCTAACAGCAGCTGGTAACATGGAAATCAGCTTCAGTGCACTAAGGGGAGATGCTGCAGATTGGAACACTGCCATCCTTTTGGCAAACAGACCAGACTAATATGCAGAAGATCTTGGATTTCTTATGTCTGAATATTACTGTTCTACTCTCTGAAGGGTTTAGTCCTCTATGCCTTATTTGATGTGACTTGAATGAATTTAATTTACTAGAAGTCCTTTATTTTGGATAATGAGTATTTTTATTTCTCCTCTTTAGAAAAATACAGGGCATCTTTAGGCAGAAAGAACGTGATAATATTAAACGTATGGAAGAAAGTTTTACCCTCCAGTAAAAATCTTCCAATCCTAGAGCTATCTTGAGCTGTTAGCAACATGGCTCTAAAATTCTTTGAGTTTCTCAGAAGAATGTGGTAATAAAAAGTGAAACCACCTTTTTTGTGTTGTCTTAAAAAAGAAATCCAATTTAGAGTTGAGAAGCCAAAAGAAATTGTAGAACCACAGAAACGCACACCGTTATGTCACAGAGCCATCACTACATGATGACTCATCTAAGGATATTTCCTCTACTTCCTTCAAATATGATTATTTCTGGAAAATTTAATTTAAATACTGGTATAAAGATTATTTCTGGAGATGGGACATTTGCCCCCTGTGATAATTCTCTTATCTGCAGAAGGGTTGAATCTATTAATTCCCATGTAGCAATATTGAGATGTATCTTATTGGCTTGCTTGATTTTTTAAACTTCTATCCCAATTGATAGAAGCTAATTAAAATTAGGTGCACATGAGCTTTTATTAAATGGCTGCTACAAAGATGGTAAAATTCAGGAAGTGATGGTCCAACCCATTCCCTTTAATAATGTTGACAGAGTCACAATTGGGATAATTTAAGATTTATGAGATTCTAAGCATCCATATGTCCTTACTATTTCCTGAGGAATTGTTTTTAAAGAAATGAATGTATGTGCCATTTCAGCCTAATGAGAGCAGAACCACCAACTTAATAGTGTAGACCCTTACCTAAAATCAGAGTTCACCAACACTAGTAGTATGATTGTGGGCAAAAGCATTTGGGGTTTATCTATCAAGTTAATTAAAGGCTGTGTTTTCAGCTATTCCCCATTATATACTTTTATAACAAATTATGGGAAAATGATGAATTTGGTAAAACTTAGGATGCTAAGATCACAAATTAGTGTATAGATTGTAAATACTTTTCTCATGTTTGTTTCATAAAACAAGTCTGGAGATTGGAATAAGTTATCCAAAATTTTTGTTGCAAAAACTAAACAGTGTGCCCCGTACCCTGAGAATCCTGGCATTTGGGATCTGGAAGCAGCCTTTGAGAGTAACTCCTCTAGAGGGGAGGGATGAAGAAGTGGTCCCCAAGAGCTCTGGTTCCATACCTGCTTGCCATTGTGTAACCTTGTGATCTTGGTCCCATTAGGTAATGCCTTGACCCACAGTTGCCTTATTTGTAATGGAGTTGGCGATAACACATATACCCGCCTGGAAAGTTGTAAGCATGAAATGAAATGTCCTGAAAGCATTATATGAACTATAAAGCCCAGTGTCAGTGTTAGTCATTATTATTACTGTTACCTAGAAAACCCTCCCCCTCACTTTGCTCATGAAGAGCACAAGTATGCAATGACTTGCCCAGGAGCTTTCTTCCTATCCCCAGGAGACACTGAAAGAACCAGGAGGGAGGCAATAAGTTCAACGCTAGGGCCACCACTGGCTGCTGAACAACTTGATTACACTATTTTGCCTCACCCCCTACAGAGGGATAAAGAACTATAGGATAGAAAGGATGCTATTGGATTAGCACACCCGCAGTACAGCTGGGCCCACTAAAGAAGAGAAAACCACATGGTGTGAGATGTACAGTGCACCAAGGCCCCTGAATAAAAACATTTTATAGGCAGCAAAGGGTAATGGGGCTGTCTGTAGGGGCACAACCCCTCTTACTACAGTGAAAGAACAAGACAGAGTGTTCTAAGACTGAGAAGAGCTCTTGTCCAGACTATCTTCAGAATTCTCCCTTGTCTTATTTTTTATTCCTGTTGCTCCTTACATTTCTAATGTCCAAGTGGTGTATTCACTCTTAACACTCTGGTTCAAACATTAACAAAAGTCTTTTTTTTTTCTTGGCTTTCTCTTAGTCATGTTTAAATTTTCAAAAGAATTTTACTAAATATTAAATGCAGGCAAAAAAAAAATCATAAAGCCATCAAAACAGTGAAGTCAGGATTTAAATCCCAGAGTATCTGCCCCCCAAACCCTTGATTTTTTTGAGCTCATTAAATGTAAGATAACCATCACATTGTTAAGACAAATTATGCACACAGGAGGCAGGGTGCTTAGAACTCTCATGGGGATTTATATTTTCACACACAATGCATGAAAAATTTGATGCAGAAAGAAATCACGTTTCTGCATGTGTTTCCAGAACTCAAAATATCAAGTAGCCAGGCTAACCAATAAGTATCATGTAAGTTTTAAATTATCAATACCAATTTGCTAGACTAAAAAAATAAAAAGTAATGATCAAACATTTTCATTGAGCATTTCATTTTCACTTTGTCCAGATCTCTGTCCCACTTCTTGTATGGAGATGGACAGGTTGAAGGAGGCACCTGCCTGAGCCAAGGCCATTGATGTGGCAAGGGCCAGTGGAGGAGGACAGAGGGTTGTTTGGGGCCATTGATGGACAGTGAGGCTAAGGTCCAGCATAGAAAGGTCACAAACAAACATGGGGAGAGTATCAGGATAACAGCCAGAAACTAAGATGGACTGAAAGTGTGTCTGACTCAAAGGTATAGATTCTAAGCAAACAGCTTTCTCATCAGGTGGGAAGAAAAAAGAGGATACAAACCAGTGAGAATGATGGACTCCTGTTATTGTCTGCTATCCTCACTTTCTTGGGGGTCAGAGGGAAGCTTAGCCCTCAGATACCGGATCAAGACAATAGAACAAGGCCCAGTTTGAGCTGAACCTCAGATCCTTTTGGTCTCTAAAGGGGGTCAGAATGATATCAGGCTAGCAGTAGCTTTTTCTTAAATGCATGCAGACACACTAATAATGCTCATTAGGCATATAGCTCATTCGAATTTAATTTAGAGTGTTTAATTTGTGTCCCTGTGTAGTTGCCAGGACAGATGTGTGCATGGCTTAGGCATACTTCTCTCTGCATGAGACAGATGTCAGGATATTGGGCCATGTTGGAAAAATGCCAGTATGTTTGTTAGTGACAATACATTGTCAGCCTCCCTTCCCCCAACTGATATTTTCATTTTTGTAGTTAAAATGCCAGTCCCAGCTCAGAAAAGAAGGATTTTGAGAGAGGTAGAAGAAGACAGAAGCAGGGTAAAGGTGGAGAAGAAAATAGAAAGTAACCAAGAGGTAGAAGAAAGGGAAAGCTTTGGGTCAGTCATTCCCTATAAGTAAAATACTCTAGATCATTTAGGATTCACACACATTACTGGGATTCAACCTGCTTTCAGAGAGAGATTAAAAATGAAGAATCCTGGGGGTGCCTGGGTGAGTTAGTCTGTTATGCCTCCAACTCTTGATTTCAGCTTAGGTCATGATCTCATGGTTGGTGGGATCAAGCCCCATGTTGGGCTCTGCACTGGCAGTGTGGAGCCTGCTTGAGATTCTCTCTCTTCCTCTCTCTCTCTGTCCCTCCCCGACTCGTGCTTCTATTTCTCTCTCTCTCTCTCAAAATAAATAAACTTAAAAAAAAAAAAAATGAAGAATCCTGGCCCCACCCCAGAGCTGCTACTTCTTAAAGACCATGGACCTTTTATAGGCCATGGGCCAACCCTGAGAGCCACTGGCTGTGGCAATCTCTAAGGTTCCTTTCTAGCCTTGAGAATCTTTGCTTATGAGAAGGAAGGGAAAAAAAAAAGAGTTGGAATGAACATCTAAGGCATGACTGTTACATCCATGTTACTTTATCCTGGGGAAGCTGCCCTTCTGATAAAGTCTGATAAGATATCAAGATCACAGGAGGCGAGAGAAGGATGTTTGATGTGCGTGTTAATATCTTTCTGTTGTCAGAGTTATTTCACCAACTGTGGCACATCCCTCACTAATGAAAGTTATTTATCCCCACCTTGTAAGTCTCAAATGTTTTGATCTCTTTGATGTCTTTATCCATCTAACCTGCAAAGATGCTCGAAGCTCCACCCCTCCCCCCTGGACCACCCCACTAGTGAGTCAGAGGTAGGTAGAAAGGAAGTGCCAGCCCCCTGGCTTTAGTCCCTCTTCTCTGTTCCTGGCTACTGAAACCTCTTACCCCATTTATCTTCCTCTTGGAGATATTCTTATGAGTAGGTTTCTATTAATTCTAGGTACAGCAGACAACTCTTCCTACTCTGCCAGAAGAACCAGAGGCTCAAGAAGAATGTCTCCCTCTGTCTATCCCATCACTGCTTAGTAAACCTTGTCAAGACTCCCTAAAACTTACAAAAGCTATACAAAATGTCTAGAAAACAGGTCTCCTCAATCACAATACAACTGTCTCCATTTTATGTAGTTTCTTGATGAATTTCCATATTCATATTTTACATAGAGCATTTACAATTTTCATGGGACCTTTTCTATTATAACCATTTTCCTCATCACTGTAGAGTCTTGATAATGATCTTTGAAAAAACTGCAAACTTCTCCATCTGGAAAATTACAACTTTATCAAATACTTACATAGTGTTCCCATGTACCAGGTACATAAATATTATGACAAATATTAATTCATCCTCATAATATTGATAAATATAAACTCCTTTCACACTTCTAACAACTCTATTATTCTCGTGTAATAGATGAGGAAATTGAGGCTCAGAGACGTTAGATAACCTGCCCACTCACTCACACAGTGAGTGAGCAGTAGAGATAGGCATAAGCTCATCTGTGCTTATGACCACTATGCATTTCTCACATTTTATATGACTACTTTTATACTGTTTAACATTTAAGCTGCTTGTAGTTATAAATAACTGCAAACAATAATACTGTTGTTTATGGCTTCTTCATAA